AAACCCAATTTTTTATTAATTAAAATTTGCCCCGACCCTATTCCGATCGATTGACTAAGGCACTTGAGAACACCCTTTAAACGTAATGTTAAAAAACATGATTATTTGATTAAAAATGTTTTTAAATGGTTCAATACATTCTGATATAATTATAATACGTACAATGAATAGTATTTAATTATTTAACTAAATTTGTCAAAATACAACTTTATCGTTATCTCTTTTTAAAATATAAAATAATAAACAATCATGCTCAATGGGAGACCTCCATTAAAAGAATTTCGCTTGAACTTTACAAAAAAGTTACTGACAAATTTGGTCGAACTACACCTCGCCAAAAGTGTAACTACTGTAGAGAAGACTTTGTGGATTTAGTCGCTCGATTAAAGGATCATTTATATAGCTTTCAAAAAGTATGAAAAATTTATTAAATAATGCTGATACTCAAGCCTCCGGTTCAAATGAAGATAAAATAACATTAACCATTAGATATATATATATATATTTACAAATACAGTAGTTAAATCAGAGATTAAACAATTATATATTCCTTGTAATTATATAATAAACGAAGTTTATATAGTGAACATTTTTTTCTTTAAAAGTCATCTCTATGAAACTGGTGAATCGGCGTCACGTAAATTACAGAATTACGGCGGTTGCAGATAATATTTACGGCAATTAGAAGCCGTAATTAATTCTACTATTAGTAAAATGCCGTAATTGCCATAATTCAGTAATTCTACCACCAACTATAAGTATAATATGATAACAATACATCACCAAAAAAAAGTTTACTCATTTTATCTCCGGATAACTTCTATTTCTTTTTCTGATTTCACTTATTTTCGAAATATGTTAATTATGAATTACCCTAATAATTTCATTTTTTTTTAGTTTTACAGTATCATGATAAATAAAAAAATTATATCTCAAAAAAGATTCACAATCTTAACACAAAATAAAGCTTTTTATTGGTTTATCAAAGTGGAAATTTTTCTCTATAAACTACATTGATTAATATCTTAGTTAACATTCCCAAATCCCATTACTACCCGGACATAATTGGAATTAATTTCAAAAGTTTTATTTCGTGTTCTTCTAGAATTAATTTCCACTGCTACATCTGTATCACTCTTACTTGTAATCCATATAAATATTATCTCTAATCCGTCCTCAAGGCCCGATAAGGTGGATTTTAAATTTAGCCAAATATTGGAGAAAAATATTACCTCGGAATCTGAATGATTACTCTTGTCAAGGGTAATCTGTATTGGAACAACATATAATTTATTATTTGTTTTCGAAATCAGTAATCCATAGTTCCAACAGTGTGGTAAGTAAAGTATATATTTACCTTCATTCGAAGAAAAACATCAATGCCCTTTCATTTTCGTTTAAATTTAGTAGCAATGTCTTGATTGCTTTTGGATGCTCTAGATTTGGGTTTATCCATAAGATTTTTACGGCGAGTTTGCACCAATCGCGATTTATTTAAACAAAGTCGTTTTATAATGGTACGAGAATCAATAATGCCCGATTCATCATTTTGTACTGGTCCGTTTGCAATTTCATATATTCAGTGACTTGTACTTCCGCAGACAATAATATTTCATTTAATGTTGTAATTTTTGATCTATTTTTTTCTCTGGACCAAAACATAAAATTTCTTTTCCCTAAATTGAATATACATTAATATGTAGAAAATTCACAACGTAGATCATCTTAATCATACCTCATCGAATCCTCCATAAACGTAATTTTCTTTTCATTAGTCTGCTTTTGCAATACTGCATAGTTGTTTGCCGAAGAACTCTTAATATAAAAATGATTCCAGCACAATTTATCAATATTTTCTTTAACTTGTTGCTTTTTTTCCAAGTTAATCCAGTATTATTACAATCGTCCAGAGCGTTCATTTGATCCACGATAAAATATAAAAGTTTAAAAACTATACACCTACTAGTTTTACTTTTTTACTTTCTTGGCCTTCACCAATTTCGTCCGAATCATCTCGGCTTCTTTTTTTCTGATCGATATATGCATTTTTTTCGACTAAAATGAAAATTTCTTTATTCAAGAAGTAAAATATTGAGAAACACTTACTGGGCAATTGCACAATAACATGAACGACATTGTCTGGAAGTTTACCTGGAAAAGCTTCTTTAAACTTTGTAGTTGAGAACAACTTCTCACCTCCAAATTCTTGTTTGATATCAATTTCGGTGTGAGACTTTCAAGTATTTCCCATTTTCTGTTTCCTTCGCTAAGGCCTTTGACCTTCCATAGTGTCAGTATGGCGGGGCTAATACCGGCAAGATCATATTGGATCTGCTTCCAGATAAGCTTCTTGAGATGCCAAATGGTGAGAACGTCGATAGAAATTTCAATATTATTAATGATATTTTTTTCGGCAATATCTACCGCGAAAGGACTCATAAGAGGTCCAACTAGAACGACACAAAATAATGACATTTCAACGATATATCTGCAAACGCGAAAGCCGAGTTAAACCGGTTACGTATCAAATAGAATAATGACCTTAGCGTTAACTGATGGTTGTTTGAACGGGTAGACATTGATTGTGTGGATACGTATGTTGCAAAATTGGTTTGTAAGTTGCTTTGACAATGGCTGAAATTTTTTTTAGCATGAGCCAAGTTTGTTTTGATTAGTTGTTTAGTTTTGTTTATTGATCAGCATGAATTCTGATTGGCTAATATTAAAATTATCGCGAATTGCTACATTTTCATTGTCCAAAGATTTTCGAGTGAGGTTTTCTCAATAATCACATGTCCAAATTCAATAAAAATTTTTTTATTTTAATTCTACAAATATATAGAATTAAAAGAATAAAAATTTTATTGAATTTGATTAGATAGTTATCAAAAAAAAACTTCACTCAAAAATCTTTGGACAATGAAATGTACAACACTGCTCTCAAGCACCAAAATTCATAGGTCGGAGCTAGTTTTTAATTCGTCGAAAATAGTTTAGCCGATCAAGTGAGTTCATTATCGCGATGAAAAAAAAAAAAGATCTCTGACCATCTTTTTTTATCATAGAGTTGTGCTGATTAGCTAAAAGTTAATATGCAACGTGAATCTTTAGCAAAATTATCGTAAGGATTACTTAAATTAATCGTAGTACTTGTGCACAATCTTGATCGTTAGCTAATCACATAGAGAGAGATGCTTATGAACACCCTAAGTTGATAAGTTTGTGGTCTGAAAGATATTTCTTCGTAGCATAATTCTACAAAATTTTAAAGCATCTCGATCTAATGATTTTGGTAGCGCTCAAGCATCACAATCATTGACGACAGTTATAGAATTAAATGCTTGAGCGTACTCTTTCTGTTTTTCATAACCTTCGTTATGCCCTAAAAAAAATTTTTTTATACAACTAGCTGCCGAAGCTTAACTTCAGTTGCATTGGCTTCACCTTTTAATGATTTTACCAATTTAAATTTTTGTTGCAACAGTAATAAATCAACTTATGAAATCGGTAGCAAAAAATTGCTTTGCGTAAACAAGTAAATTTAAAAAAAAATCTTTTTTTTTAGGCAAACTATAGTAATTTTGCAGTTGCTATTTCGCACTGAAAGTAGCATAGGTAATACGAAAATATTTTTGAAAAGAGTTATAACCTTCATTATCCGTTAAATATAGAAAAACATTTACCCCAAATCCTTAGTTTTGGGTCTTCTTTGCTGAAAATTTTTAAATTTAGGTGAACGAAAAACGGAATAGTAGTATTCACTGTAGTTTGATTAAAGGTTAAAAGATGGGTTGCATTTATTACGTTATATCAAGTTATCAATTATTTGCTTAAAAGCTTCGAGCATTAAAAATAAAATAGCTATTTTTAGGTCTGTTAGAATTTGATTGTTTATTATGTAAAAAATGGTTGAGCGACCTTTATCAATGGTAAATTTTTGAAGAAAAAAGATGGTTTGTAGCTCATTGATCTATTTATCTAATTTATTCACTTTCCGACTATTAAAAATTTGCCCCGATCCATTGAGAACACCCTTAATCATACAACAGGATCATTGATTAGGCCACACATGATTAATGGGATACTTTTCAAAATGTTGGAATTTACAATTGAATAGTACCCGATACTATTTAAAGGAGATACTTCTTCAAGGGTACTATGCATCGCTGTACGGTGAATTCACCACTATAATTCCAACACAAACTGTGTATCATGACAGCAAGTTTCATAAAAAAATTTTTTACAATAAATTATAATTTACGACTGTAATTTAACACAAACTAACTCAACTTTAACGGCATGCTGTGTATCACCATAATAGTTTGTAAATTTTTATACCAAAATCTTTTACAATAAGCTACGATAGAAATCATGACTATAATTCCAATACATATTGTGTATCACCGCAATAGCTCGTAAGAATTATTGCTTGCTACAAATACTCACTGCGACGCTTGCGATTTTTTAAATATAAAATTTGACGATAGCAGGTTATAAAAATGTCATAATATCACAAAATCACAATATAATATAATGTTGTAATATTGTAATATTGTAATATTGCAATCTAACATATAAGTCTTATATTGTAATATTATAATATACTATATTTTTTATGATACATCTAAATTTAAATTATACGTAATCTACAAAGATATAACATTAATAACTACTCAGTGACATTGCGATCATATGATTTGCAATTTCTGCATCTTGCATATTTGCATCTAACTTTCAACCTTTCGACTCTGAGGCCTTACACCCTTTTGTAGAAAAAAGGGTGTTCGCAAAGGTCGCAAATAAGTTTGGAAAGATGCAAGGGGCTGCGACTTTGTAGCAGCATCTTAACTCGTAAGCTTTGTAACAAAATTAACAAAATTTTTATGGTAAATTATGATATAAATCATGTTAATTCCTATATGAACTAACTTAACTACCATATTGTATTACCGTGATAGCTAATAAGCTTTGTAATAGAATTTTTTTACAGTAAACTAAATAGAAATTACAATTTCAATGCAAACTAACTCATGGTTAGCTAATACAGTAAAGTTAAAGCTGGTGTTATGGTGAAAATTATAAAAATTTATCTAAGAATGCCCAACCTTTATGAATAAGATAATTCTTTGCTAAATTCTATTATGTATACTAATTTCAATAAAATTTAATTTACACTAATGCATCTACCGCAATAAGTAGTAACAAATAAAAAAAAAAGATTACACTGACTTGCTATAGAACTATCTACACAAGAATTATTTATGTTTTGCATAGCTCACTGCATTTGCTCGACGCATTTCTTGTTTAGCTTTTGAGGTTCAGCCTAAATAAAATAAAGCATATATTTACTTACAATTTATTGCAAGGTAAATTCAATATTTAATTGACATTGATAATCTCATAATTAACAATATATTCTTATTGGCCGATTAGTCTATCTAAAGCGATTTATATTTCTATTGGCTAAATTTTAAAAAAAAATTAAAAATTCCAATTTTGGATTTTTAGACCCCGCCAGATTAAGAAAACCAAGAAATTAATTTTGCATGGCCTGATTCAGGGATAGTAAATGACTTCAAATGACTCAAATGACCAGTCGTTGGTCATTTCACAGCCAAATGACTTAAGAGGGCCTAGTTAATTGATTATCTAATGCCTTTTAGCCAATCAAAATTGACTATTGTTCTCCATAGAACTGGCAAACGTCGCTAGGTATTATCAAATAAAAATTATTGCACATGATAAATGATTTAAAAGGCTGATGACTCCAAAATGCTCGGTCATGGGTCTCTGCCATTTTTACAACAGCCATTTCCCGACAAATAAAATCCGGACAAAATTGACCGGAACTAATCCTAACTCTAACATAATGCGGGCGAATTTGACATTCGGGAAAGAGGGAAAATAATAGGAACTGTCTCCAATCGGATCACAAGATCAGGTGTGAAGCGATTCAATAGACATATATTATTAGACAAAAGATAATATATTTAAAAAAAGTTCGTGAATAATTTTCAAATTTACAAATGACATAAGTCAATTAATAATCGACGTGAATTGAGAAATGGCACAGGATATATATACAGTCAATACCCTCTAAGTGCATGTCCTTTAAGTGCAAGTTCTCTTTAAATGCAATAAAATAGACTTGGCCCAAGTTGGGACTTATAAAATAGGTGCAAGCTCTTTATTCTGTAAATGCAAGATTTTTTTTTAGCCAATATATATATAATTATTTCTCTAATTGCAAGATATTTTATTAACCAATTAAAATGATTTATTTAATTTAAGTTTTTTTTTAATCTATTAACTTGCATTTAGAGAGAATTAATTATATTTTTCTTTAATTGCAAGTTCTCTCTAAACGCAAGTTATTTTGCTGGCCCATTTACTTGCACTTAGAGGGAGTTGACTGTATATCATTTAAACATAATGACCCAATGGCCAAATGACCCTAGTCATTCGGAAAATGGCCATAGTCACTTGGTCATGAGTCATTTCCAAATGACCTCAAATTTGAATAACCTCAAATGATCAGTCATTTTGAGGACATTTGAAGTTATTTGAAAAATTGGTATTGTAACCGTGAGAGAGACTTGCTAACGTGAGGTCAAATTAGCTCAGGGTTATAAGCATAGGTTATGCGAGATGAATATTTAAAAACGATTCTGGTTTAATGATAATGGATTATTAAGGAATGTATTTTAATTGGTATACGATTCATAAGGTACTTTATTTATTATTTCATTTATGACTCATCGGAATTATTACAGCTCACCCTCGTTATAGCGGACTCCGTTATAGCGAATACCTCGTTATAACAGAATAATTCTCTAGATCAATTTAAAATTTTTATTATACTATATAATGCCATAGTGGATATTCATTATAACGGACAGAATTTCTCAGCCCGATCACCACGTTATAACTTTATTAGTTTAGGCGTCATATTTATACACTGCAAAATAGCCATATGATCTGTGGTCTCGGACCAAGATCCGCGGTCTCAAACAAAGGTTCATGGTCCTAAACCAATGTCTGTGGATCTAAACCATGCACAGCCATTCCATGACAATAGCGCTAACAAATATAGTAAGAAATAATAATACGATATAGAAAAATATAACGGAAAATTTAAACACAAATTTTTCGTAACAACAGGTCATTTACCATCGTTGGCCTAATTAGATTCAATGTTTACAATTACTAAATAAATTCATTGAATGCTTTTAATAAATAAATCTATAAATAAATAAATATTGGATTATTTCTTTTATTTCCCTTAAATCGTAATTTTATTCTAATCACTAGATAAAAATATTCAACATAAATGAAATGTTGCTTGCAGAAGAAAGTCTATAAGATGTTTATGAATGAATCAAAAAATCCAAATTTTGCATTAACACTTGGCGAAGCCGCACACATGTGCTATACTAGTATTAGAGACAATAGGGCAGGGACACGAACTACCCAGTCACCACCCAAAACACACAACCAGCTTACAATATACCCAATAGGTTAGAGGCGGTATCGATTTGGCAAGGTAAGACTAAATTGGATATATTGTGAGTAATAAGAACAACTGTTTATGCAAAACTGTCACTACTCTTTATTAAGAGATAAGCCCAATTTATAACAAATTTTTACATGTGGGGGGCAAAAAAAAAAGAACATAATCGAATTATAATCTAATATACTCTAAGCCTGGCAATGTCACTGCCTCATATACCTTTTTAGATGATGCTTGGGCATTGTTTTGAACTAGGTGGCTATCCCATGGTTCTTCTTATTATGCCACGCCTGGGATCCCAATATACTAGTATTGTTAATGTCACAATTTGGATTTTTGAACTATGGTTATTTACCCGGTTCAAGTCAAGTTATAAGACATCAGATTAGTTAAACAACTTCAATGTCCAACGATATGCACAGTATATGCATAGTTCTATAAATATAATCTCATCTTATTGGTTTATAATCATACAATTACACATTTTATATATCTGCACGTTCAATTGTATTGACTCAGTTAATTGATTAAATAACCGATACATTAGTTCAAATAGTTAATTAATATTGTCAGTTAAATTAACAACACTACAATATACCGTGGTCTTGGGGCCATCTTGATAACATTGTTATCATGATGCGACTACAATATCTTGGTGGTTCTTCAGCACTTTTCTTTCACTTATGCTCCTGGGGCTGTATCAGACTTGGCATTTGTTTGGGGGCTTTGGGAAAAATTAAATTCTTCTGATTTCTTGCCGATTTCGTGGGCTCCGATAGGACCAGGAAAACTCTATAATAGGTCACCACCCCAACTATATTCGAATACTACTATAAATATGGAAAATGTGGCTGACCTATCATAGATTCGAATTATTATAAAGTCTTGTGAAGTCCTTGACTTTATATAATTCGCAGAAAAAAAGTTATCGCCCCGGATTAGAAGTCTAAATATATCAAGGTGTTCGACTAAAATGATTCGCTTTATTATTAAATTTTTTAAGGTGCTCGCAAAACTAATTCGCTTAATTATAAAAAAGCTTGATTCGCAAAACATAATAAATAATTTTTTTGGAGAGGGGACCTATTATAGAGTTTTCTCGGTCCTGCTTCGATTCAGGTCTTTTGTCACGTTTTCGGGCCCTGTGACGTTGAATTCGGCGGTTTTGCTGCTAACACTAGTTAGAGAACAAACATGGTATTAATCGATTATAACAAGGTTTTGATAGGATCTATTTTGGGTAGGCTTAATTTTAAACCCTAGCTGTGATATAAAATTTTCATATAAAGATTTGTACTGAGAATTTAAAGGGAGATGTTGTGCACACCAATTTTGGTTATGTTCAATTAACTTAATGTGGTTATTATGCCATTGAAGAATGATAAACCTTTTGCAAAAACCAGGTTCTTAGTTAAGTAGCATGAAGGAATAGCTTTCAGCAGCCAATACTATGACTGGTGCATCGAATGTGTCAGATGTTAATTGCACACATTCTGGAGAATAAAACCAGTATTTTTGTGAAGCAATTCCCAAATCCGTATAAGATAAAACTTCTTTTAGTTGACTGACATCATATATAATTTTTTATAAAGCTCATGTTTGCTTATTCAAGTGAAACATCATTTTAGTCTTAATTTCTCGCCAACGTTCTTCATCCCCAAAAATTGCCATGGCTAATGCTCTAAACCCATAGTTACCGTCATTTTTTGGGTAATGAAACTGTTTTTGAGGAACACATAGATCAATATTTGTATCATTTGTACTAGACATATGTGATATTACATCATTTTTGTCCAATTTTTGCATAACCTTAGTCTTTTTCGAACACACAGCATTGCTTTCATTTTTTTTAGCTCCATGAATACGTTTGTTATTAGTAGGCTAGCCACGGAGCCCATTATTATGAAGCTTCTCAGTAAAACCAAGATCATTTTGATCGAATTTGTGCGCAACTATACTGAATTTAGTAGTGTCTATATTGTGATTATGTTTTAGATAGGATTTTATTATTACAAATTTCTTACTGCATTTATGATAATTCACACCAACAACAAAAGGACAACCAGTGCGTTTAGTGGTATATTGTTGTTTTTTCTCACCATATTTTCCCTGTTTTTCACAGAAAAAGTATGCCTGTCTATAACCACTGCTATCTGGAAATTTTGTCGTTTTTCCTAAAATCAAATTTGTGCTAGTTTCTACAGCATATTCTTCGATAGCTACACGAACTTTATCAAACGTATTCCTTTTAGAATATTAACTTCCATAATGAATTTGTAATAGTAATCTGAAGACAATATGAAAAATGAAAGATTTTTCTTAAAAAAAAGCAAAAATTAAGTGATGTAAAAAAAAAAGAACACTCTGAAAAGAAAAAAATGAAGCGATATGAAAAAGATATGAAAAAAGCGACCTGAAAAAAAGTATCCAAAAAAGAAAAATAAATGAAAAAATGAAAAAATGAACCGACTTATAAAAAAAATATAAAAAAATAGAAGACTAAAGCAATCTAAAGAAATATGATCTAAAAATGAGGCAATCTAAAAATGAAGAGCTCTAAGAAAAATAGAGCGATTTGAAAAAAGCAACCTGAAAAAAACAACCTGAAAAAAAAGAGTTGAAAATAAAACTTTCTAGAAGTTATTTAAGCATATAACAATTCAAATAGAAGATAGATTTTTTTTTTTTTCTTTAACGCCCTTATCGTTATACATGATAATATCATGTGCCAATTTTTGGCCAATCACAACTGCGTACATCAATTTTGGCCAATCACAGCTGCGTACATCAATTTTGGCCAATCACAGCTGCATACATCAATTGTTGCATACATTAGTTGCGTATATTGATATTACCAGATACGTACTATACATCAGAAAATAACCTTATTTTGTACAAAAATTTCCTTGTTCAACTATTAACGTATTTCTCTGACACATATATCATATGAGTGCATGAGAGTGAAAACCAGGAAATAAAATTTAACTAATTATAAATTTTATTTTCTGATTTTCACTCTCACGCATACATATCGCATCTACCTATTACTACATAACTTGATTTTAACGATAATATTTAAAACTATATATACAGTAAAATAATATAAATTTATATTCAAATTGTATATTCCAATTTATTGTCTAGAGCGTAGTGGAGGACTCTTTGTTTTTGCAACAACAAGTGCTAAATTTAATGTCACTTGATCTTGTCTGTTTGTTGCTCCTGCGCTTATAATTGGCTAAATACGCTGTATGACCTACGATCACTTTTTTATCAATACTAGACGTATTTATACTTTATAAATATCTGGTATATATTATTTACATCAGGAAAATGTTTTTGCAAAATTTATATTATATAAAAAATTTGCAAATTTGTGCAAATCTTCAAACCTGGTAGCTATTTTCACAGAAATAAATACAATTCTGCACAAAATTTTGGGTTTAAAAATTTTTGCAAATTTGCACTAAAAATTTTTTCTAATGCTATAAAAATCTGTGTTTTCGCAGAATAGAAAAAATTTCGCAATGAACTTTAATACCACCTGGCACGATAGCTATTGGCATATTAAAGTGTCTAAAGTTCATTATGTTACAAAATTATTATAAAATTATATTCATTTAATCTGATTGGTTAAAAATTTAATAGTATTCGAAAAAAATTTTTTATTATACTTATAGTATAGGAATGTCAAGAAAAAAAATTCAAGGTTTTCAAAAATCGCAATTCAATTTATACATTCTAATTAAAAAAAGTCTTATGCAAAATTTTGGAGGTAATTGTTGCTTTAAATTTTGCACATGTTTGTTAAAAATTTTGTATTTATTTTCTTGGGTTATTTATTATTTGTAAATGGATTACATGATCATGGTTTTTAAATTATAATCATCATATGAGGAACAATAAGGCATGCCTTGGGCCGAAGCATGACTTTCAGATATGCTCAAAAATTTTCATACATCTACTCTAGAGTAATGCACTAGAGAGTGTGTATTTAGAGAGTTCTTTCAATATATACATTTTTATAATTTATAAATTCTTATTATATTATTTATTATTCATATGTTTGAATTATTTACATTGATTCAATAGTTTACACTTAGAGAAGAGTGTCTAATTTAATTAATTGTGTTATTAGTGACAAAAAAATGGTTACACTAAAAGAATCTATAATGAAAAAGCTTTCTATAAAAGAAAGTGTAATGAAAAATATTTATATCAAAAAAAAGAAAACAATTTTCTAACAAAATAAGAGCGTGTTATAATAAAAAGAATATTGTAGCAAAAAGAAAGTTTATAACATGTATTTAACAGAAATATATATATAAAAATATATATAGTATATAAAAAAATATTTATGGAATAGATATATAAAAAATAGGTTTATAGCGAAAAATGTGAATAAAAGAATTTATAACAAAAGGAGAATGCTTGTAGCGAAAGTAAACGCTTAAATTATATATAACAAAAAATCGGCAGTAAGTCCCACGAACGAAAAAACAAAAAAAAAGTTATATAACAAAAAAATGTTTTTATAGCAAAAAAGTGAATCTTTATAATAAAAAATCGAAAAAACCGTTCACAATCAAGAAATGATTCATAACGAAAATAAGAATTCCTGCAAACGAAATATTGAACTAGTAGCAGGTCCTATTCCACAAAGTGGGATACTCGAAATTTAATTTGACATTAGATGAAGCAAATAATTACAGTATATGTTTATATATTGATTAAAGAATAGTGTGATATTCCATGATAGATTAATAGTTAGAGGTTCATAAGTCCTGTGGATAAAGAAAGAAATGACGACTAATTGATAATATAGATGATTAATCGATAAACGTATTTTGGAAAACTTCAGTAATTTCATAAGGGTGGACATTAAGAGGATTAGTAATAATTATTATAAAGATTTGTAGTTTCGAAAGAGGATGAATCATTTGAATTATTAGTACTTTGAGATAGGTCATTAGTTAAAGGATCATTATTTTGCATTAATCTTTCGTGAACGAAAGGAGAGGATGGAAGCAAAAATGATTGTTCATTAGTTCCATAAGCGTAAATATTGGAAGAAGTAATAATATTATTATAAGGATCTGGAGTTTCTAAAGAGAAAAAATTATTTGAATAACTAATAAAGAATGGAGTGATATTTTATATAGATTAATGATTAATGGATCATTATTTTGTGTTGGTCCTTCGTGAATGAAAAGGAAAGCATTTTGTGATGCTTCAACAGCTCCGCAGGGATGGATGCTAAGAGAAGAGGAATCGTTAAAATGGCTAGTAGAGGATAATGTGATATTTTGATATGAATTAATGATTAAAAGGTCATTATCTTGCGCTGGTTTTTCAGGAAACATATTTGGGAATATTTCAGCAGCCTTGTATGGGTAGATATTGGGAGGAGTTTCAACAAAAGAGGTTTCGTTTAAATGAATAGTAGAGGATAATGTGATATTTTGATATGGATTAATGATTAAAGAATCATTATTTTGTGCTTCAGTTGTTCTAAGAGAGGGCTCATAAGAATTAATTGATGCGGTATTTTGATCATCTGGTATTTGTTCTTGGCCAATGAATGACATAACAGTTTTGAAAGAGTAGGAAGCTTCTGTAGCTCCAGGAGACCTAGACTTTCTCCCACGTTTTTTAGATGGAGTATTTTCATACTGGAAACTATTGCTTCTACAGTATGTACAGGCATCATTGATATCCTCTTCGGGTTTTATACACCTTTGGTATCTTATTTGACAATTTTTACATGCTTGAGTTGCATTAATATGTAATCTTTGTGGTTTATTTGATTGAGATATTTAAGAGCAATCTGACAACAATGGTAATACTAGGTAAAAAATAAATATTGTACTATATATATAGATATGATTACGGTTGTAAAAAATAAAGTGCCATCCACAGGGTGTTTTTGGCTTTTTTTATACTTGACAAGCTCATGTTTTGATAGTTATAGGATTTATATTCAGAATCGTTTTTATATTTCATTTTTTTGTTCTTGATCAAAAATTTTAAAATGATTTGCATTTTTGGTCTCACATGTCTGGATGACACAAATTATAGGTATTTCTAAATAAATTAATCCATTATTGTCAGGCTCTGCCATGCTGCATGATAACCATGATTATAACCATATAAGGTAAATATTGCTTATTCAACCAACAATCACTCATTTTACTGCCACATTTTTTCCTAAACATTATTAAGGTACTGACCATTTTTCTCATCACTACCATCTACTTGTATTACTTGTCTCTCGTGTTACCTTTCTTCAGAATAGCAGTTACTTTAAATTTCAAGAATCACGAGACACAAAATTTTTGAAGAAATAATTGAATTTTTTTATTAGAATTTATTTAATTATTAGTACAAGTTCAAATGCATAGAATGCATTACATCTAAATTCAAATTTTATTTAATACACATATAAAGCTTCAAATTTGAATTTTGTACTACTAGTAAAAGGTATTTTGTTACGTCCACTCCAAGTTTTTGGAAGCTTTTTTGCTCGTTCAAAATCTTTACTATCATCTATCATTTTTTGAATAGGTTTAAAATTCGATTTTATACTTCAATGCCATTTTTTTGTTTGGAAAGATTATTAGCTTTCAAGACAATCAAGTGCCTAACTTATAAAATTAATAAATATATTTATTTAAACTTGGAAATATAATGAAAAAAATTTTTTTGTACACATTTCTTAAAGTTTCAGATTTGGATTCGCTATCTTCAGTACTCGATTCTTTATTATCTATATTTTTGTTTTCTGAATTTACTAGATAGATCATTGTGTAATTGATTAATGTCGATATTCGATTACTTTCCTATAAAGTTTCTTTAGCTTCTGTAATAAGTGGATATTGAGAATTCTATTGTATCTAAATTAATATAATATTAGACTTGGAAATTTTAAACCATGATATAATGACAATTAACTTGCAAAAGCTTCATCCATGTTATTTACTTCTAATTTGGTAAATATCTACAACTATCTCAAGATCTATATACATATTGCTTTCTCCTTCAACATCCATAAGTTTCATAAACTATATATTCAAGCTCTTCAGATTTCATAGCATTTTTTTTTGCATGTGAATTCTATTAAAATTTGATTCTCACATTTATGTTTTTTTTTGCTTTCATTTACATGGATTGTACTCAAAACATGATTTATTATCAGTTTTTGGTTTCGTAATTTGACAAGATAAGCAAATTGTATACTATTTTAGAAAATATTACGATATTTAAAGAAATAAAAATTTTCATTATAAATTGTTATTATTGTTCTTACATATATTAATCAAATGTTATCATTATTTGTATTAATCATTAATTTTAATATCGCAATAAATTTAAGCTCTGTTATGCGTAACTAATTTTGGTGGCAATAATGTAATGTTACTAATTATTATTTTTAACTGGGGTTAAATCACTACCCAAAAAAAATCCAGTTCATGTGATTTAATAATCAAGTTGTATCAGTTATATAATGCTTATTAATAAAATTTTTCATAAAAATAGTAAAAGCGAAAGTATGTTTGTTTTTTTGAATATATGAATAATATAAATCACATGATTTGAATTTTTATGGGTGGCGATTTAACCTCAGTTTGTTATATGCTATTTTTATATCAAAATAATTAAAAGTATTAATAGCATAAATTTTTATTTCATTTTTAACTTCAATCTTACCGGTAGAGAATCTGGCATGATAGTCATTGGCATGCTAAGGTGTCTAAAGTTCATTATATTATAAAATTATATTTATGTAATCTGATTGATTAAAGAAAATTTAATAATATCTGAAAAAATAATTTTTATTATACGAAAAATTTAAGATTTTCAAAAATCATAAACCAATTTATATATTCTAATTAAAAAATTCCATGTGAGTTTTGGAGTGATTGCTACTTAAATTTCGCGCATGTTTGTTAAAATTTTGCGCTTATTTTCTTGGGGTATTTTTTATAATTTATAAATTCTTATTATATTATTTATTATTCATAAGTTTGAATTATTACATTGATTCAATAGTTTACTCTTAGAGAAGGTGTTTAATTAATTGTGTTATTGGTGACAAAAGAAATAGTTGCAACGAAAGAATCTATCATGATGAATAAGCTTTCAATAAAAGAAAGTGTTTGTAATGAAAAATGTTTATATCGAAAAAAAAAATTTGTATCGAAATAAGAACGTGTTATAATAAAATAATATTGTAGCAAAAAGGAAAGTTTATAACATGTATTTAACAGAAATATATATATGGAAATATATACAGTATAACGAAAAGCAAAACTTTTATATAAAAATGTTTATGCAATAGATATAATATAAAAAATGGGTTTACAGTGAAAAATGTGAATGTTTGTAATAAAAAAAAACCGAAAAACTGATTGAATATAACAAAGGAGATTGTTTGTAACGAAAATAAATATTAAATTATATATGACGAAAGAAGATTGTCATCGGCAGTAAGCCCCTTCCACGAACGAAAAATAAAAAAAGGTATATAGTATATAACAAAAAAATGTTATTATAGCAAAAAAGTGAATATTTATAATGAAAAATTGAAAAAACTATTCACAATCAAGAAGAAAAGGATTCATAATGAGAAAAGAATTCTCACAAACAAAAATAAATATTGAATATTAAATATAATGAACTGGCAGTGGTCCCATCCCACAAAGTGGAATACTCGAAAATTTAACTTGATATTAGATGATGCATAATTACGGTATATGTTTACATTACATATTGATTAAAGAATAGTGTAATATTTCGTGATAGATTAATAGTTAGAGGTTCATAAGTCTTGTGAATAAAGAAAGAAATGATGATTGATCAATAATGTATAAATGATTAATCGATGAATGTATTTTGGAAAACTTCGGTAGTTTCATAAGGATGGACATTAAGGGGAAGATTTGTAGTTTCGAAAGAGGATGAATCATTTGAATTATTAGTACTTTGAGATAGGTCAGTAGTTAAAGGATTAATATTTTGTATTGATCCTTCGTGAATGAAAAGGGAGGATAGAAGCAAAAATTATTGTTCATTAGTTCCATAAGCATAAATATTAAGAGAAGTAATAGTATTATTATAAGGATCTGGAGTTTCTAAAGAGAAGAAATTATTTGAATAACTAATAAAGAGTGGTGTATATGGATTAATAATTAGTGGATTATTATTTTGTGCTGGTCCTTCGTAAACAAAAGGAGAGCATGGAAGCAGTTTATTAGTTCCATAAGCGTAAATATTGGAAGAAATAATGATATTATTATAAGTATCTGGAGTTTCTAAATAGGAGAAGTTATTTGGATAACTATTAAAAAATGGAATAATATTTAGATATGGATTAATGATTAATGGATCATTATTTTGTGCTGGTGCATTTTGTGATGCTTTAATAGCTCCGCAGAGGTGGATGTTGAGAGAAATTTCAACAGAAGAGGAATTGTTAAAATGGCTAGTAAAGAATAATACGATATTTTGATATGGATTAATGATTAAAAGACCATTATCTTGTGCTGGTCCTTCGTGAACAAAAAGGAACATATTTAGGGATGTTCTAGCAGCTTTGCATGGGTAGATATTGGGAAGAGTTTTAACAGAAGAGGTTTCATTTAAATAACTAGTAGAAAATAATGTGATATTTTGATATGGAGTAATGATTAAAGAATCATTATTTTGTGAAGGCTCATAAGAATTAATTAACGCGGTATTTTGATCATATGGCATTTGTTCTTGGCCAATAAATGATACAACAGTTTCGAAAGAGTAGGGAGCTTCTGTAGTTCCGGGAGACCTAGACTTTCTCCCACGTTTTTTAGATGGAGTAATTTTTTCATAGTCGACACTATTGTTTCTACAGTATGTACAGGTGATATCCCCTTTGGGTGTTTCGCACCTTTGGTGTCTTCTTTGGCAATTTATATATGTTTGAGTCGCATTAGCACGTAATCTTCGTGGTTTATTTGGTTGAAACATTAAGAGAAATCTGACAACAACGGTAATATTAGGTAAAAAAATAAATATTGTACTATAGATATATGATTACGGTCGTAAAAAATAAAGTGCCATCCAAAAGGCTTTTTTATACTTGACAAGCTTATATTTGATAGTTATAGGATTTATATTTAGAATCATTTGTATATTTCTTTTTTTTTGTTCTTAATCAAAAATTTTAAAATAGTTTATATAAAAATAATCGACAACTAATTGTGACCAACTGAGAGTTGTCGGAGCCAAGCATGATAACCATGATTATAACCATATAAGGTAAATATTAAAATCCCTAATACGTATAATAACTCATCTTATTCAGAATAATAAAATCAATTACTTTAAATTTCAAGAATCACGAGATACAAGATTTTTGAAGAAATAATCAAAGAATTTATTTAATTATCGTCACAAGTTCAAATGTATAGAATGCATATTCAAATTTTATTTAACGTTAATACACAAATTTGAATTTTGTGCTACTAGTAAAAGGTATTTTGTTATGTCCACTTCAAGTTTTTGAAAGCTTTTTTGCTCGTTCGGAATCTTTATTGTCATCTATTATTTTTTGAATAGGTTTAAAGTTCGATTCAATACTTTGGAACTATCTTTTTTGTTTGGAAAGATTATTAGACTTTTCAAGACAATCAAGTACCTAACATAAATATATTATTTAAACATAGAAATTTAATGAAAAAAATTTTTTTATACCCATTTCTTAAACTTTCAGATTCGGATTTACTATCTTCAGTACTCGATCTTTATTATCTATACTTTGGTTTTTCTGAATTTACCAGATCGATTATTGCGTAATTAATTAGCGTTGATATTCGATTACTTTTCCATAAAGTTTTTTTAGCTTCTGTAATAAGTGGATAATATATTGTATCTAAATTAATATAATATTAGATTAGAAATTTTTAAACCATAATATAATGACAATGAACTTGCAAAAGCTTCATCCACGTTATTTACTTCTAATTCGTTAACTGTTTAAGAACTATCTCAGGATCCATATACATATTGCTTTCTCTTTCAGCATTCATAAGTTTTCATAAACTATATATTCAATCTCTTCTGATTTATAGCATTTTCTTTTGCATACGAATATTATTTAAAATTTGATCCATGCATTTCTGTTTTTTTGCTTTCATTTAAAACATGATTTATTATTTTGAAATGCAGTTTTTGGTTTTGTAATTTGACAAGATGAACAAAATTGTATATACTATTTCAGAAAATATTACGATATTCAAAGAAATAAAAATTTTCATTATAAATTGTTTTTATTCTTCTTACATATATTAATCAAATATCATCATTATTGTATTAATCATTAATTTTAATATCGACAATAAAATTCAAGCTCTGTTATATGTAACTGATTTTGGTTATTTTTAATAGCATTTTTGTTGACATATATAAAATAATTTTTTTTTGCAACAATTACAAATATAAAATGAAAATTAATACCTAATATTGTTCATTTTGCACATAATAAAAGTAGGTAATGCTTTCGAAAATAACAATAAAACATGTATTTTTATGCTTGGAGCATCCAAATAAAGGAAAAAAAAAATATGAAGAACAAACAATAGATATTTAACAAGAATTACAAAAATGCTGTAGAGCCGGGAGGACAAATGAATCTAGAAATATTAATAATATATTATAAATCACTTGCAAGTTATTTTATGTAAATAAAATATTTATTATATCTGATATTATATATATAGGCCTTTTGCTTAACTTGATAAGTCTCGTGAACTTCCGAATGGCTGCAAAATATTGAATCAAACTTTGTACCACTTCAAAAAATGATGGATGTTATAAAAAATTTGGAGCAAGCAAAACCATAGTTTAAATTATACTGATTCGGACAATAAATTTATAATTTCATTATTTTTTTTTTAATGCCAAAATTTCATTTATATAAATCTTAATTTCGATTTTTAATTGACAAATAAAATAATTTTCAAACTACTATTACATAACTGATTTGAGTAGTAATGCTCAGTGGGTTAATTCTGTATTAAGAGAACCGGGGTTAAATTACTACTCAAAAAAATTCCGAACATGTGATTTAATAATTGTGTTTAGAGGTTGGATCTATAAATATTCACGGTTAAAAATAGATATTCATTGAATATTCAATATTTGGTTATACAAAATTCATGGATAGTTGATTCATGAATATTTGTATGAATATTTGTTGTAAATATTCATGATTACAATAATAGATAGGTATTTATTCAAAATCAAGATATTTATTTAATGCCATTTGTAAATATCAAAACCCACGAATATTTACTAAATAGCCATGATGGATATTCAAAGGATCCAATCTCTAATCGTGTTATATCAGTTATATGATGCTTATTAATAAAATTTTTCATAATAAATAGTAAAAGCGAAAGCATATTTGATTTTTTGAATATGTGAATAATATAAATTAGTTGTCACAGGACAGCTCTAGGCAATTTGTAAACAATTGTGAACAAAAAAGCAAATCTAAATTACTTAAAATTTTATTAAAATAACCTATTTTTTTTTTTTGAAAAAATATCCAAAACTATAAAAAATATATACTCATGTCTTTTTTAAACTAATTTATTAAAATTTAAAGTCAAATTATCTTTTGGACAGTTGTGGATACTGTGGATGCATGGATGGATAAGTCTGGTCCAGTCCATGGTAGAATTGGTCTACCGTATACTTTCGAAATTAAGCACCTCTCGGAGCAATTTTTATAGTCAAAATTCTCGTGATCTAATAATCGGATCTGCATAATTTTAGTACCATTCGAATTGTTTTGGCAAGCTGATTCAAATGGTACCAAAATTACGTAGATCTGATTATTAGATCAAGAATTTTGAATAATAAAATTACTCTGAGGGGTGCTTAATTTCAGAAGTATATAGTAATAGTTTTTTTGGTCTCAGTTCTACGAAATTCAAGAGATTGCATGTGAGAATCAATCAAATTCCGGATCAGACCAAATCCAAAATCTGGGCAATAATCGAGAAGGAGTATAAATAACAACCAGGAAATGCATTAAATTTTTGCTTTGTAAAATTTACGCTCAAATAAACCAGAACTCATGGAGTTACTACATTTTTTCATTCTTGTATTATAGATAATTTTGTTTTTTTTTGTTTTTTTCCAAAAAACTGATATTTTAGCAACCACCTGATCAAATTCGATGAATTTTTTTTTTTATTTGAATTCTGTAGAACGATGGAATTCAAATAAAAAAATTTTATTGAATTTGATCAAATAGTTGCTGGGATATCTTTGTTCAAAGTTTTAGAAAAAATTTGCTACAGCTTCTATTTTGAGGTTTAATATTTTTAAAAAACTTTGAGTAAGATATTTCAGCAACCACTTGATCAAATTCGATAAAAATTTTTTATTTGAATTCAATGTATCTATAGAATTTAAATAAAAAAATTTATCGAATTTGATCAAGTGATTGCTGAAATATCTTCGATCAAAGCTTTAGAAAAAATTTGACAGCTTCTATTTTTGATAAACATAGATATTTTTTTAAAAAAAATTTGAGCCACCTGATCAAATTCGATGAAATTTTTTTATTAGAATTCTATAGATATATGAATTCAAATAAAAAAATTTTTATCGAATTTGATTAGGTGATTGCTGAGATATCTTTGCTCAAAGTTTTTTAAAAATATTAAAACGTCAAAATAGAAGCTGCGCCAAATTTTTCCTAAAACTTTGAACGAAGATATCTCAGCAACTATCTGATCAAATTCGATGAAATTTTTTTTATTTGAATTCTATTGATCATAGAATTCAACAAAAATTTCATCAGACTTTATCAAGTGGTTGCTGAAATATCTTGCTCAAAGCTTTAGGAAAAAATTTGGCACAGCTTTTATTTTTGATAAACAATGAGCCACCTGATCAAATTCGAAAAATTTTTTTTATTTAAATTCTATAGATTCATAAAATTCAAATAAAAAAAATTTTATCGAGATGGTTACTGAGAAATCGCATACAATCATACAATCATGTACAATCGATTGACAATCGGACAATCAGTAATAATTTTTATGCTACTCAAGTTTTTGCTCGTTTAAAATCTTTACTGTCATCTATCATTTTTGAATAGGTTTAAAGTTCAATTCAACACTTCGAAATCATTTAATAAATATATTTATTTAAACATAGAAAAAAATTTTTACTCATGAGTTTTTTTGTACTCTATTAAAATTTCAGATTTGGATTCGCTATCTATATTATGGTTTTCTGAATTACCAGATTGATTGTTAAATTGACTCATATGTAATTGATTAAGGTTGATATTCAAATAATTTTCCATAAAGTTTTTTAGCTTCCGTAATAAGAGGATATTGAGTATTCCATTGTATTTAAATTAATATAATATTAGATTAGATTTAAACCATAGCATATATAATGACAATGAACTTGTATAAACTTCTTTCTAATTTATTATAAAGTACAAAACCTGTAAATTCAATATATACTTGATGTTGATAATCTCATAATTAACAATATATTCTTATTGGTCGATTAGTCTATCTACAATAAAGCGATTTATATTTCTATTGGCTAAATATTTTAAAAAAAAATTAAAAATACCAATTTTGGATTTTTAGACCCGGCCAGATTAAAAAAATCAAGAAATTAATTTTGCATGGCCTCAATGTTTACAATTACTAAAAAAAATTCTTTGAATGCTTTTAATAAATAAATCTGTAAATAAATAAATAAATATATATTGGATTATTTCTCTTATTTCTCTTAAATCGTAATTTTGTAAGTTTTATATTAATCAATAATAATCGGAAGATTCTAATCACTAGATAAAAATATTTAATATGAAATTTTGCTTGCAGAAGAAAGGCTATAAGATGTCTAATTAAGTTTTTGAATGAATCAAAAAACCTAAATTTTGCATTAACACTTGGCAAAGCCACACACATGTGCTATACTAGTAAGAGAACAAACATAGTATTAATTGATTATAACAAGGTTTCGATAAGATCTATTTTTGGAGGGCTTAATTTTAAACCCTAGTTGTGATATAAAATTTTCATATAAAGATTTGTACTGAGGATTTAGAGGGAGAGATTGTGCACACCAATTTTGGTTATGTTCAATTAACTTAATGTAGTTATCATGCCATTGAAGAATGATAAACCTTTTGCAAAAACTGGGCTCTTGGTTAAGTGGCATGAAGAAATAGCTTTCAGCAGCCAATACTATGACTAGTGCATTGAATGTGTTAGATACTAGCTGTGCACATTCTGAAGAATAAAACCAGTATTTGGTGAAGCAATTCCCAAATCTGTATAAGATAAAACTTCTTTTAGTCGACTGACATCATATTCTAATTTTTTATAGAGATCATGTTGCTCATTCAAGTAAAATATCATTTTAGTCTTAATTTTTTGCCAACATTCTTCATCCCCGAAAATTGCTATAGCTAATGATCGAAACCTACAATTACTGTCACTTTTTGGGTCATGAATCTGTAATATTATATTTTGAGGAATATATATATCAATATTTGTATCATTTGTATTAGACAGACGTGATATTTCATCAATTTTGTCCAATTTTTGCATAACCTTAGTCTTTTTCGAACACACAGAATTGTCTTCACGTTTTTTAGCTCCATGAATACGTTTGTTATTAGAAGGCTAGCCACAGAGTCCATCATTATGAAGCTTCTCAGTAAAACCAAAATCATTTTGATCAAATTTGCGCGCAACTACAGTATATTGAATTTAGTAGTATCTATGTTGTGATTATGTTTTAGATAGGATTTTGCTATTACAAATTTCTTGCTGCATTTATGATAATTCACACCAATAACAAAAGGACAACCAATACGTTTAGTGGTATGCTGCTATTTTTTTCTACTATATTTTCTCTGTTTTTCGCAGAAAAAGTATGCTTGCCTATAATCACTGCTATCTGGATATTTTGTTGTTTTTCCTAAAATCAAATTTGTACTAGTTTCTGCAGCATATCCTTCAATAGCTATACGAACTTTATCAAATGTATTGAAAGTACATCTTTTTAGAATATTAACTTCCATAATGAATTTGTAATGGTAATCAGAAAACAATATGAAAAATAAGATTTTTCTTAAAAAAAAACAAAATCAAGTGATGTAAAAAAAAAGAACACTCTGAAAAGAAAAAAATGAAGTGATATGAAAAAAGATATGAAAAAAGTGACCTGAAAAAAAGCACCCAAAAAAGAAAAAATGAATGAAAAAATGAAACGACCTATAAAAAATATATATATAAAATAGAAGACTGAAGCAATCTAAAGAAATACGATATAAAAAGAAAGCAATCTAAAAATGAAGAGCTCTAAGAAAAAATAAAGTGATTTGTAAAAGATGAAGGGTTTGAAAAAAGTGACCTAAAAAAACAACTTGAAAAAAAAGAGCTGAAAATAAAGTTATTTAAGCATATAACAATTCAAACAGAAGATAGATTTATTTTTTTTTTCTTTAACGCCATTATCTATACATGATTTGTTCAGGCAACATCACGTACCAATTTTTTGGCCAATCACAACTGCGTACATCAATTTTGGCCAATAACAGCTGTATACATCAATGGTCAATTGTGCATATACTGTATTGATGTACATACAGTACATACTTGGTACTATTGCTATACATCAGAAAATATCCTAATTTTGTACTAAATTCCCTTGTTCAACCATTAAGGTTTTTTACTCTGACATATCGTATCACCTATTACATATCACTCTGGTTATATCGACATTTTTGAGACATTAGTAAAAAAATTCAAAATGTCAGTACAGTGAGTTATACCGACATTTTATATTAAATTTTTGAAAAAAATGTCGGTATAGAAAGATTTTACTATGCTGTCATTATATCCAGATATCGGTATAACCAGAGTGGCATGTACTACGTATCTTGATTTTAATATAATATATATTAAAAAAATCATAAAATTTTTACTTAAGTAAAAAAAAAACAATTATTATAAAGCACACCTATAGTGTTTTACACCTATTATATATTTTTCTTAAATTGTATATAAAATTTTTAATCCAAATTTTTTTACATTAAGGTTAGTATTATAACTAACATTAGGGTTTGGGAAGGGTTTTTAGGGCATAAAACATTTTTACTTAGAATACTTCATGCCGATTAATTAGCCAGTTTTTGAGAAAACATATACATAGATGTAAACACTATAGGTGCGTTTTAATAAATTCCATATTCTTTTCAATATGGATATTAAACAAAAACTTGTAGTAAATATATCGAATTAAAAACTTCCAAAATTATCGATAATTCAATTGAAAATAAGGTAAAAACTCTTAGTTTTTTTTTTAAAAAAAATTTCATTATGTTTTATTAAAAATGAAAGAACGATTTTTTTTTAAAAAATAGTTTTTTTTCTTTCAATTGTTCTGAAGAAAAAAAACCGAATTACGTCAGTCTCTTTGTAAAGAAAAAAGTTTCGAAATGAAATCTAAATTGAATTTGAAGAGAAAACAAAGAACTTAAACTTAGAGATCTCTAAGATCTCTAGACATCAACCCAATTTTTTTTCAATTTGTTTTTAAGATTATTTTTATTTTTAATTTTTTTTTTCTTGATCTTTGTTTTTTAGAATAAAGTACTCCCATGTATTGTCCACGCAATAACTAAAATACTCGAGTATTTTACTATGAGCATTTAGATTCATGTCTTAAAACTTGTAAAATACTAGCTACATATATCCATATATCCATATATAAATTGATTTTGTGCAATTTATGGTATGTCAAAATTCTGTATTAAGGCCTATTTTTATATCACAATTATTTAAAGTATTAATAGCAATATGCATAAGTTTTTATCTCTTTAACTTCAATCCCACTATAGGGAGTCTGGCACGATAGTCATTGGTATACTAAAGTGTCTAAAGTTCATTAGTTATAAAATTATATAACATTATATTCATGTAATCTGATTAGTTAAAGAAAATTTAATAATATTCGAAAAAAATTTTTTTATTATACTTATAGTATGAAATAGCAAGAAAAAAAATTCAAGGTTTTCAAAAATCACAAACCAATTTATACGTTCTAATTAAAAAAAAATCTATGCAAAATTTTGGAGGTGATTGTTGCTTTAAATTTTGTGCACGTTTGTTAAAAATTTTGCACTTATTTTCTTGGGTTATCATTTGTAAGTGGATTACATGATTATAGTTTTAAGTTATAATCATCATATGAGGAACAATAAGGCATACCTTGGGCTGAAGCATGACCCTCAGGTATGCTTAAGAAATTTTCATAGCATCTACTCTAGAGTAATGCACTAGAGAGTGTGTATTTAGAGAGACCTTTCAATATACAAATTTATCATATTATTATTATTCATATGTTTGAATTATTATATTGATTCAATAGTTTACACTTAGAGAAGGGTGTTTAATTAATTGTTATTAGTGACAAAAGAAATGGTTACAATGAAAGAATCTATCATGATGAAAAAGCTTTCTATAAAAGAAAGTGTTTGTAATGAAAAATATTTATATCAAAAATAAGAAACCAATTTCGTAACGAAATAAGAGTGTGTTATAATAAAAATAATATTATAGCGAAAAGAAAAATTTATAACATGTATTTAATAGAAATATATTTATAAAAATATATAATGAAAACAAAACTTTTAAAAAAAATGTTTATGATAATAGATATAATATAAAAAATGGGTTTATAGCGAAAAATGTGAATGTTTGTAATAAAAAATGAAAAACCGATTGAATAAAAGAATTTATAACAAAAGGATAATACTGTAACGAAAATAAATGCTTAAATTATATATGACAAAAAAAGATTGTTATTAGCAGTAAGCCCTATCCTACGAACGAAAAACAAAAAAAAGAGGTTACTGTATATAACAAAAAAGTGAATATTTATAATAAAAAATCGAAAAAAAACTGGTCGCAATCAAGAAAAAGATTCATAATGAAAAGAAGAATTCTCACAAATGAAATAAATATTTAATATTGAATCTAATAAACTGGTAGTAGGTCCATCCCACAAAGTAGGATACTTGAAAATTTAACTTAATATTAGATGATGCAAATAATTATAGTATAGGTCTACATATTGATTAAAGAATAGTGTGATATTCCATAATAGATTAATAGTTAGAGGTTCATAAGTCCTGTGGATAAAGAAAGAAATAACTATTAATCAATAATATATAGATGATTAATCGATGAACATATTTTGGAAGACTTCAGTAATTTCGTAAGGGTGGAAATTAAGAGGAGTAGTAATAATTATTATAAAGATTTGTAGTTTCGAAAGAGGATGAATCATTTGAATTATTAGTACTTTGAGATATATCATTAGTCAAAGGATCATTATTTTGCATTAATTCTTCATAAACGAAAGGGGGATGGAAGCATAAATGATTGTTCATTAGTTCCATAAGCGTAAATATTGGAAGAAGTAATAGTATTATTATAAGGATCTGGAGTATCTAAAGAGGAGAAATTATTTGGATAACTAATAAAGAATGAAGCGATATTTAGACATGGATTAATGATTAATGGATCATTATTTTGTGCTGGTCCTTCGTGAATGAAAAAGAAAGTATTTTGTGATGCTTCAACAGCTCTGCAAGGGTGAGGAATTTCAACAGAAGAGGAATCGTTAAAATGGCTAGAATAGGATAACGTATTAATTTGATATGGATTAATTATTAAAGGCCATTATCTTGCGCTGGTCCTTCATGAACGAAAGAGAACATATTTGGGAATGTTTCAGCAGCTTCGTATGGGTAGATATTGAGAGAAGTTTCAACAGAAGAGGTTTCGTTTAAATGACTAGTAAAGGATAATGTGATATTTTGATATAGATTAATGATTAAAGAATCATTATTTTGTACTTTAGTGGTTCTAAGAGAAGGCACATAAGAATTAATTGACACGGTATTTAGATCATCTGGCATTTGTCCGCTAATGAATAACATAACAGTTTCGAATAAGTAGAGAGCTTCTGTAACTTTAGAAGACCTAGGCTTTCTCCCGCGTTTTTTAGATGGGGTATTTTTACAGTGGAAACCATTGCTTCTACAGTATGTACAGGCATCATTGATATCCCCGTTGGGTTTTATATACCTTTGGTGTCTTATTTGACAATTTTTATATGCTTGAGTCATATTAGTACATAATTTTTGTGGTTTATTTGATTGGGACATTTAAGAGCAATTTGACAACAACAGTAATACTAGATAAAAAATAAATATTGTACTATATATATAGATATGATTATGGTTGTAAAAAATAAAGTGCTATTCAAAGGGCATTTTTGGCTTTTTTTATACTTGACAAGCTTATGTTTTAGGATTTATATTCAGAATCGTTTGTATATTAGTTTATATATATAAAAATAATCGACAATCAGTAAAAAAATATTACTCCATTTCATTTTGTGAAGTTTATCTTGGAAATCAGGAGTCGATTTATTACGTGCCATGACCATGATTATAACTATATAAGGTAAATATTGTATCTTATTCAGAATAGTATATTTAATTAATATAATAAAATCGGTTACTTTAAATTTCAAGAATCACAAGACACAAGATTTTTGAAATAATTGATATTTAATTATTGCTACAAGTTCAAATATATAGAATGCATTTACATCTAAATTCAAATTTTATTTAATGTTAATACACTTATAAAGCTTCAAATTGAAATTTGTGCTACTAGTAAAAGGTATTTTGTTACGTCCACTCCAAGTTTTTGGAAGCTTTTTTGCTTGTTCAAAATTTTTACTGTTATCTATCATTTTTTGAATAGGTTTAAAGTTCGATTCAATACTTTGGAACTATCTTTTTTGTTTGAAAAGATTATTAGACTTTTCAAGACAATCAAGCACCTAACATAAATATATTATTTATAAAACATAGAAATTTAATGAAAAAAATTTTTTTATACCCATTTCTTAAAATTTCAGATTTGAATTCACTATTTTCAGTACTCGATTCTTTATTATCTACAGTATATTTTAGTTTTCTAGATCGATCATTGTGTAATTGATTAGCGTTGATATTCGATTACTTTCTCATAAAATTTTTTAACTTCTGTAATAAGTGGATATTATACTATACCTAAATTAATATAATATTAGAGTGGAAAATTTTAAACCATAATATAATGACAGTGAACTTGCAAAAGCTTCATCTATGTTTTATACTTCTAATTCGTTAACTTTTGAGAACTATCTCAAAATCCATATACATATTCAGCATCCATAAACTATATATTCAAACTTTTCAGATTTATAGCATTTTCTTTTGCATGTGAATATTATTTGTTATTTTGCTTTTATTTAAAACATGATTTATTATTTTGAAATGCAGTTTTTGGTTTTGTATACTATTTAGAAAATATTCAAAGAAAGAAAAACTTCATTATATATTGTTGTTATTCTTATATATATTAATTATTATTGTATTAATTTTAATATTGGTAATAAATTTAAGCTCTGTTATATGTAACTGATTTTGGTAGCGATAATATAATGTCACTAATTATTATTTTTAATAGCATTTTTATTGACATATACGTATAACCCAATTTTTTTTTGCAAAAATTGCAAATCTAAAATGAAAATTAATAATAAAACATGTATTTTTATGCTTGGAATATCCAAATAAAGGAAAAAAGAGCAAACAATAGATAATTTAACAAGAAATACAAAAACATCGTAGAGCCAGAAGAGCTTGAAAGCATAATTTATAAAAAATTTGTGAAAGTTGAAAATAAAATAACAGACAAATGAATCTAGAAATATTAATAAGGTATATTATAAATCATCTGCTAGTTTATTTTATATAAATAAAATATTTATTATATTTTACAAGTTTACTAAAATGCATCTATGGTGTTTAACACCATAGGTCCCTATTTCTCAAAAAACTAAAATTAGAACCTTATATCTAATATATATCATAATATATATAAAAAAAAATTTTTCATAAAAATGCACCCTAACCTTAAATTTTATTAAAAACAATTATATATGGTGCTAAACACCATAGGTGCATTTTATAATAATTGATATTTTATATCAAATAATATAAAATGCACCTATGGTGTTTAGCACCATATATAATTGTTTTTAATAAAATTTAAGATTAGGGTGCATTTTTTTAAATTTTTTTTTCTTTATATATTATAATATATATTAGATATAAGGTTCTAATTTTAGTTTTTATAAGGTTTTTGGGGTCCTGAACATTTTTACTTAGAATACCCAATCCCATTTACTTAGTACATTTTTGAGAAATAGAGACCTATGGTATTGAACACTATAGGTGCAAAATAGTAGTGTTGTTTTATATAGGCCTTTAGCTTACTTGATGAGTCTCATGAGCTTTCAAACTTTGTACTACTTCAAAAAATGATGGATGTTATAAAAAATTTGGACAAGCAAAAAATATTCTAAAAAATAGAATGGACGTAATAAGAACATCTTTTATTATCAATAAATTAAAATAATTGCAAACTATAAACCATAGGTTAAATTATAATGATTTGAACAATAAATTTATAATTTCATTGATTTTTTTTAATGTCAAAATTTAATTTATATAAATTTTAATTTTGATTTTTAATCGAATAGTATCTCGAATAAAATAACAGATTTCATTTTCAAACTACTATTATATAACTAGGGTGAGTTAATTCTGTATTAGGAGAACCAAGATTAAATCACTATCCAAAAAAAATCCAAATCATGTGATTTAATAAAATTTTTTATAAAAATAGTAAAAGCAAAAGTATATTTGATTTTTTTGAATATGTGAATAATGTAAATCACATGATCTGAATGTTTATGGGTGGCGGTTTATTATGCTATTTTTATATCAAAATAATTCAAAATAAATTTTTATTTCATTTTTAACTTCAATCTCACCGGTAGAGAATCTGGCACAATAGTTATTGGCATGCTAAGATATCTAAAGTTCATTATGTTATAAAATTATTATAAAATTATATTCATATAATCTAATTGGTTAAAAAAAATTTAATAATATTCGAAACAAAAATTTTTATTATACAAAAAATTAAAGGTTTTCAAAAATCGCAAACCAATTTATATGTTTTAATTAAAAAAATTCCATGAAGATTTTGGAGGTGATTGCTACTTTAAATTTCACGTATATTGTTAAAATTTTGCGCTTATTTTCTTGGGGTATTTATTATTTGTAATTTTACATGATAATGGTTTTAAATTATAAACATCATATGGGAACATACCTAGAAACAACAAGAAAGGCATGCCTTGGGCTGAAGCATGACCCTCAAATATGCTCAAAATTTTTTTCGTAGCATCTATTTTAGAGTAGCACAGAGAGAGTGTATTTAGAGAGGTCTTTCAATATATGCATTTTTTATAATTTATAAATTCTTATCATATTATTTATTATTCATAAGTTTGAATTATTACATTAATTTAATAGTTTACTCTTAGAGAAGGTGTTTAATTAATTGTGTTATTAGTGACAAAAGAAATGGTTACAACGAAAGAATCTATCATAATGAATAAGCTTTCAATAAAAGAAAGTGTTTGTAATAAAAAATATTTATATCAAAAAAAAAAAATTCGTAACGAAATAAGAATGTGTTATAATAAAAATTAATATTGTAGTGAAAAGAAAAGTTTATAACATGTATTTAACAGAAATATATATATATGAAAATATATACAGTATAACGAAAAGCAAAACTTTTATAAAAAAATGAGTTTATAGCAAAAGATGTGAATGTTTGTAATAAAAAAAAAAAATGAAAAATTGATTGAATATAACAAAGGAGATTGTTTGTGATGAAAATAAATGTTAAATTATATATGACGAAAGAAGATTTTCATCGGCAGTAAGCCCCATCCCACGAACGAAAAATAAAAAAAGGTGTACAGTATATAACAAAAAAATGTTATTATAGCAAAAAATGAGTATTTATAATGAAAAATCGAAAAACTATTCGCAATCAAGAAGAAAAGGATTTATAACGAGAAAAAGAATTCCCACAAACAAAAATAAATATTTAATATTGAATATAATAAACTGGCAATGGTCTCACAAAGTGGAATACTCGAAGATTTAACTTGATATTAGATGATGCAAATAATTACGGTATATGTTTACATTACATATTGATTAAAGAATAGTGTAATATTTCGTGATAGATTAATAGTTAGAGGTTTATAAGTCTTGTGAATAAAGAAAGAAATGACAATTGATCGATAATATATAGATAATTAATCAATGAACATATTTTGGAAGACTTCGGTAGTTTCGTAAGGGTGGACATTAAGGAAAAAATTTGTAGTTTCAAAAGAGAATGAATCATTTGAATTATTAGTACTTTGAGATAGGTCAGTAGTTAAAGGATTATTATTTTGTATTGATCCTTCATGAACAAAAGAAGAGGATGAAAGCAAAAATGATTGTTCATTAGTTCCATAAGCGTAAATATTGGGAGAAGTAATAGTATTATTATAAGGATTTGGAGTTTCTAAAGAGAAGAAATTATTTGAATAACTAATAAAGAGTGATGTATATGGATTAATTATTAGTGGATTATTATTTTGTACTGGTCCTTCGTGAACGAAAAGGAAAGTATTTTGTGATACTTCAACAGCTCTGCAGGGATAGATGTTGAGAGAATAGGAATCGTTAAAATGGCTAGTAGAGGATAATGTGATATTTTGATATCGATTAATGATTAAAAGGCTATTATCTTGTGCTGGTCCTTTAGGGAACATATTTGGAAATGTTTTAGCAGCCTTGTATCGGTAGATATTGAGAGGAGTTTCAACAAAAAAGGTTTCATTTAAATGACTAGTAGAGAATAACGTGATATTTTGATATGGATTAATGATTAAAGAATCATTATTTTGTACTTCGGTTGTTCTAAGAGAGGGCTTATAAGAATTAATTGACGCAGTATTTTGATTATCTGGCATTTGTTTTTGGCCAATGAATAACATAACAGTTTTGAAAAAGTAGAGAGCTTCTGTAGCTCCAGGAGACCTAGACTTTCTCACACGTTTTTTAGATGGGATATTTTCACACTGGAAACTATTGCTTCTACAGTATGTACAGGCATCATTAATATCCCTTTTGGGTTTTATGCACCTTTGGTGTCTTATTTGACAATTTTTACATGCTTGAGTTGCATTAGTATGTAATCTTTGTGGTTTATTTGATTAAAACATTTAAGAGCAATCTGACAACAACGGTAATACTAGGTAAAAAATAAATATTGTACTAAGAATACGGTTCTGGTTGTAAAAAATAAAGTGTCATCCAAAGGGCATTTTTGGCTTTTTTTATACTTGACAAGCTTATATTTCGATAGTTATAAGATTTATATTGAGAACCGTTTGTATATTTCTTTTTTTTTGGTCGATTTTATTGTGATACAAATTTCATTCATATACGTAGTTTTAATATAACAATTAAAGCCCTAAAAAAAAATCAGGTATTTTTGTAACACAATTGTAAATATTTGGTTAGAATGTTTTTTTTTTTCTTAAATTGAATATTGATCAAAAATTTTAAGTTCATCTTTATGCAGGGCGGATTTGTAGAATTTAATAAATATAAAAACCCATGAGCTGTAACTCTGGTCAAATTTGCAGATCATTTGGCCTGGTTTGAAATTATTTGATTCAAAGCTGGCCAAATGATCTGCAAATTTGACCAGAGTTACGGCGCATGAGTTTTTATATTTATCAAATTCACAAATCCGTGATAACCATGGTTATAACCATATAAGGTAAATATTGCAATCATAAAAATCTCCAATACAATTCAGAATACGTAGCATATTTAATTATATATATAATATGTCTATATATAATAAAATCAGTTACTTTAAATTTCAAGAATCACGAGACACGAGATTTTTGAAGAAATAATTAATTTTTTTTATTAGAATTTATTTAATTATCGCCACAAGTTCAAATATATAGAATGCATTTACATCTAAATTCAAATTTTATTTTACATTAATACACGTATAAAGCTTCAAATTGAATTTTGTGCTACTAGTAAAAGGTATTTTGTTACGTCCACTCCAAGTTTTTGGATACTTTTTTGCTTATTCAAAATCTTTACTATCATCTATCATTTTTTGAATAGGTTTAAAGTTCGATTCAATACTTTGGAAATATCTTTTTTGTTTGGAAAGATTATTAGACTTTTCAAGACAATTAAGCGCCTAACGTAATATATTATTTAAACATGGAAATTTAATGAAAAGAATTTTTTTATACACATTTCTTAAAATTTCAGATTCGGATTCACTATCTTCAGTACTCAATTCTTTATTATCTATATTTTGGTTTTTCTAAATTTATCAAATCGATTATTGTATAATTGATTAGCATTGATATTTGATTATTTTCTCATAAAAGTTTTTTTAGCTTCTGTAATAAGTGAATATTATACCTAAATTAATATAAAGCTATATAAACTTAATTAATTGGTTCTCATAACCTGGCCAGATCAAATTCAAAAAATTTTGAAAAAATTTTTTTACTATATTTATTATCCGGGTGAGTTTTTTTAAATTTTTGCAAAAAAATTTATATGTTTTTTACATATAAAATTTTTTGAAAATAAAATTAAAAGCCGGTTGCCAGGTCATTTTAAAATTTTATGTTATGAGAACCAAAAATTTAACTTTATATGGCCTAATATTAGATTAGAAATTTTTAAACCATAATATAACTTGCAAAAGCTTTATTCATATTATTTACTTCTGATTCATTAACTGTTTGAGAACTATCTCAAGATCCATATACATATTACTTTCTCCTTCAGCATCTATAAGTTTTCATAAGCTATATATTTAAGCTCTTCGGATTTATAGCATTTTCTTTTGCATGCGAATATTATTTAAAATTTGATTAACACATTTCTGTTATTTTGCTTTCATTTAAACATGATTTATTATTTTGAAATGCAGTTATGGTTTCGTAATTTGACAAGATGAACAAAATTGTATATACTATTTCAGAAAATATTACAGTATTCAAAAAAATAAAACTTTTCATTATAAATTGTTATTCTTCTTCTTACATATATTAATTAAATGTTATCATTATTGTATTAATCATTAATTTTAATACTGTAATATTGGCAATAAAATTCAAGCTCCATTATATGTAACTGATTTTGGTTATTTTTTTAATAGCATTTTTGTTAACAAATATAAAATAATTTTTTTGCAAAATTGCAAATCTAAAATGGAAATTAATACCTAATATTGTTTCATCCTGCACATAACAAAAGTAGGTAATGCTTTCGAAATAACAATAAAATATATATTTTTATGCTTGGAGCATCCAAATAAAGAAAAAAAAAAAAACATGAAGAGCAAACAATAGATAATTTAATAAGAATCACAAAAATGCTGTAGAGCAAGAGGACAAATGAATCTAGAATATATTATAAATCATTTGCAGGTTTATTTTATGTAAATAAAATATTTATTATATCTGATATTTTATATATGGGCCTTTTGCTTACTTGATAAGTCTTGTGAACTTCTGAATGGCTACAAAATATTGAATTAAACATTGTACCACTTCAAAAAATGATGGATGTTATAAAAAATTTGGAGCAAGCAAAAAAATATTTTAAAAAATGTGATGGACGTAATAAGAACACTTTTTATTAGCAATAGATTAAAATAATTGTGAAATATAAACCATATTAATTCTGTATTAAGAGAACCAGGTTAAATCACCACTCAAAAAAATTCCAGATCATGTGATTTAATAATCGTGTTATATCAGTTATACTATGCTTAATAAAATTTTTTATAAGAAATAGTAAAAGTGAAAGCATTTGAATATGTGAATAATATAAATCAGTTGTCACAGGATAGCTTTGGACAATTTGTGGACAATTGTGGACAAAAAAACAAATCTAAATTACTTAAAATTTTATTAAAATAACCTAT